CACAATGACCAGACCAGGTGCACCGTTGAAATAGCTGCGGAATCGCTCTCGGTTCCAAGGACAGGGCACCGTTGAAATAGCTGCGGAATCGCTCTCGGTTCCAAGGACAGGAAAAGTGCAACGCGTGTCCAAGCACAGGTATCACAGCAAGAAGAGACGACGGTAGTCAAAGACGGAGTGGGCATGGCAGTCTGCCAGGATATTGCAAAAGTACTTGAAACACGCACTTGTGAGCCTTCCCACATTCAAAGGGTGTGCGTGGATGTGCAAGCAAAGTCGAACCACCTTTGGGTATTCCCAACGAGGAGGCCTTGTGGTGAACGACGCTGGATGTGTGCAAAAGCAGGACAAGTGTCTGGGAGAGCAGGTTTGACTGCACGACAAAGGATCTCAACGAAAACATCTAGGCAGTGTAGTAGACGACTAGTTCGGGGTAAATCTGGGCGTTGTCGAACATTATCACCTCGCGAAACGTAACTTGCGGTGTAGCAATGACAGAATCAAATCTGCAAGACAACCAAACATGAGTCCCATCAAGCTGTGAGACAGGACTCGAATCTTGATTGACATACCGCTCGTTGTTGGGTGCATCGGGCAGCAGCGGGGGAGCCAGCGCCCCGAAAGGAGGCGAAGGATGGACATAGGCACGGCCCAACAGAGCTCGCGTAATAATGAGCATGCGCTCGCCGTTTGCTCCGGGCGTCGCATATTGGTGACTCTACACCCAGGTTCCAGTAGACACACAGCGCCAAAAAAACAATGTGAGGACACGCACGTAATCACCCTGCAAACCAACGGTTCCACCACACCTTGCCGGGATGATTGGCCAAGTAAACACCAAGTCCATAATTGTGGCCTGAGCTGCGACCAGCGAAACGATAGTCAAAGCCCAGGCGCACAATCTTGTCGCGCAACATTGTGTCAGGGGCGATGCCGTGAAGCAACAAGCGCTCTTGACAGGGTGTATTTCGAAGCAAAGCTGGACAGCCCGAGAGCGCATCTACTGTGGCCGTATGAAGTTGATCATAGTGCTCCTGACTTGTAATGCGGTGCAGCATCTCCCATCGCTTGGCGCTGTACCGTTCCCACAGCACGGGGTTCTGCACACGCTCCACCCGCCGCACTGCAATGTTGCTTGGCCCTCGCCCGTCAGCACTCAGCTGCTGTAGCAGCTCAACCACCTTGGTACACAATGGGGTCAAATCAGTCAGCTTGTCAAGATAAAAATAATGTAAATATGACTATGTCGGCAAGCAACGCACCTCTGGGATGAGCTCGGGTGCGTCGCGTAAAACGTCAATGGCTGGTCCAACAGCTTGAGTCGTGACAGGTCGCTGCACTCTTTGCCCGGCGCTGAAGAGACTTGGCCGCTGCTTTGGATCTGTTGCAAGCAAGGCCCGTGTTTCCTTGTACAACTCGCTCGTCGAATTGCACATCTGCAGCAAAGGTCAGCAAAGCAAATCACAATCAAAGCGGTGCTCAGTTGTCGCTCAAG